TGCGCTAATGACGACCAGTCGCGCTGTCCTGATACACCGCGAATGTGCGAGTGTTCCCTGTAGACAGTCCCGGGAGTCATTTTTTTCGCACATTCCAGGAGCCAAACCAAAATACGTTCATGAACCGAGTCCAAAAAACCGAAACGTGAAAATCGGATGATCGGACCTGATGTACATTTCTCTTTCTATAGATTGTACACACAATACACACATCTTTAGATAATCTGGCCATGGCAGGTTAAAAAAAAAGTAACCCTGAATCATACTAGATTAGCGTAAATGTATGTTAATGCGTTCAAAACAAGAAAAAAATTGTTTCCGGGTATTAATCTCTTGAATCACGGCGCTGAATATTGACGCAAAAATATTTCGGGCATCGCGCGCCCTTCCTGCGTCACGTGTAGGCATCTCGCATCTCTGATTGGTTGTTGCGTCTTAAGATGACTGAGCCGACGCGCGTTTAAACAATTTTTCTTTGTTCGATTCATCACACTTCACAGAGAATTGTCGCCAATGGCTACTTCTTTTTGTTGCAATATATAATACTTCACGGAGAATTGTCGCCTATGGCTTCTTGTTAAGTTTTCAATTTATCTAAAGAGTGCATGATGTTTCAGTGTACATGTAGGACCTGGTCATCTACCCTTAACCCTCTCCCTGCTGCTGTACACTGCAACCAGTACAACTTAAGGACAGGAGATGGAAGTTATATTGATCATACATTGTAATGCATCACTTCTGAATGGAACAATTTGTAACTTACCCTGTGATCATCACATACTACACATGGATTTCATCTTATTCCAGCCACAAATGTGTGGAGGAGGAAGTAAAAGCACCTGAGTGACAAGATAGTCATACATTTGTACATGTTGCCATTGACAACATACCTCCTACATATTTCAAAGGGGGTTTTAACTGGTGATGATGTGGTGATTTTGGTTTCACCTGACTACATACGTAATACTACAATAGGAAGGTTTGGCACCAGACCATCCTTCACAAGGATATGCCAGCAGAGGTCCAGGGACTGTTTTGACCCATATGATTGCAGTAATGGCAGTAAATAACAATCATGGACACCGACAACAAGACAACATTGGACAGGGAGGACTGTTGGCCCCAAACAATTCCACTACGAGGTTTATAGTGTGGAAAAACAAAAACAAAACATCAGAGATCAGATATATACTACTAACAGTTGTAGGCCAAACCTTGGACAGTTTTTCTACACACTGTCAAATGTCATAGTCATACAATGGACACACCTAGAATGTAGAGCTTCAGTATTTTTGCTTGCTGTAGTATATTATCTAGTTACAGTATTGGAACATAATGTCTCAGAGATATGTACATGTACTTTTATAGCACAGAGTTGGTACATGTAGACCACATGTACAGGTAGTCAGGACATGTGCCAACAGCTTGCTGTAAGTTTTGTCGCCTGATATAATGTTGGGGTAAACAAGGGGATAGCTGCCAAGAGAAGATAAGAAGATGTACAAAGCAAGTCTTCTTGTTTTGCAGCAAACTTGGTTTAACTGCTGGAAGTATCAAAGGATGGGTACATTTACAGTGTTGAGGGGAAGCAGGGGCTCAGGGTTAGATTATAAATAACCCTGACTGATTACAGGTACATACAGGAGGTGCCATGAAATATTCATGGATCACCACTGAAAACATCAACACCGGATGTGCCTGACGTCAGCTGCCAGTGTGACATGTGCACAACAAGGTACTCTGTGCCGGGATCGGTGTGGTACATTTGGTACACTATACATGTAAGTCAGTGTTCCACCAATTGCCTTTAAAGTTAGTACTTACATATAGGCCAGTACTGGCTGGCTCCCCATGCTGTATGTTGATTCTGCCCCAATCTGGTCTGGGATTGTGAACCAAAGATTGTAGTGCAGAAACACTGCACAGCAATATAGACACTGGCAATATACGGTATCAAATATTGTTCATAACAGCTATTAAGATCACAGTGTCAGGAGATGAAAAAGACAGCATTTTAGATTTTGGATAAAAGGATTTTAAATATAAAAAAATATAGGGGTCTGTAAACTTGGACAATAAAAATTCAGGATGGAAATGTTGTCAACCTTTTGAATTTTGGCCTCAATGATTTTGTTTAGCTGGAACAGCCTTTTATCTCTTGGAACATTTCATCACAAAGCCTTTTGATAATAAAATCAGCACTCATGAAAAGGATCAATGAATGAAAATTACAGTAAGTTGATGGATAACAACAGATGAAAGGCTGTTATTGATTAAGCAGCAGTTAAACTCAGAAAGGTTGCTTGAATGGTTGGCACACAAACAGTAAACCAACACGCATGTTAGTTTACTGTTTGTGTAAGTGTCAATCTTCATTAAACATTCAGACACCAATTCTACATGATTGTACCTTTCACAGTCACATTACAAAATTTGATAGTAACAGCAGAAACCACCAGAACACAAGAATATTTTAGACATGCACACTTGCACATAAAACTTACCTGTTGAAGTCTTCATATCCTCACCGAGGGTGGTCTGGGGGTCATTTTCATCAAATTATGGACTTACGAGTTAGCCCCTGGATCACAGTAAACCATGAAAGGAACTTTGTTTACACTAGAAACAGTACAGAGTTTGCTATAACAAAGAGAAGTGATATAATTATGGTATACACCCTCCAGCTAACTGTCTATGTTATTAAATCCACTTCAAAATTACTTCAGACACTATAAGAACAGGCATTGCTTTTCAACACTAGAGCAAGTCAGCTTTTTGTGTAAAAATCCTTTCAAAAACTATCATGACCATAGTAATATAATAACTTTAATATATATACATTGAGAGGAATAAAGCAAAAATATACAACTTTCATTTACAGTTGGAAAAGAACCTTAATCTATCACCAAATCTATAAATCAACAACATGCAACAGGAACAATGAATAAGACACACTTGGTACATGCTTTTAACTAAGACTAAATGACAATGGTCTCTATTTGCAACTGCAATATGATAAGGTTTTACAACAGATTTGCAGAACTTCTTGTAGGAAATGTTAAATTTTTTGAATGTACAGTGGCCTACTTTTGTAATGACAGTTCATACTAGAGAAGCTTTAATTTTCCATACCTATGTGGAGGGTCCCCATAACCCAGTATTATAAGAGTAAATTACCTGTGACACAATGCTGTATTTCAGGGATGAGGTGGGGAGGAGCTGCAGCAGTTACTGTACAACAGGGCCAGTAATTGTTCCTTCACCTGCCAGGATATTCCGCACAAGGCAAGTCAACCACAACCTGTGATTAAGGGAATAAATTACCTGTGTCATTGATGTATCCACAAAGAAGAACTTTCCTACAGACACACCTGGCTATTATACTGAACTGCCTCTCCCCGGTTATATGCCAGGTCATGACACTTTTATCAAGGATATTCAGTTTGTCTCTGCAGTAAGAGGGGTGGTCGTTTTCAAATCTCTTTTTTTTCATTCTGTGGGTCTGTATCTTTCTTGTTTATTTATTAGTGGAAGGGCTGACTTAACAGGTGACTATCGGATTGACATAACAGGTGGGTGACTATCACCATTTCAAGGTGTCAGCCCAGAGACTACTGGGTTTGAACAACTTACACTGACATGGACCCCTACTCGTACTCTATTTTATAATGTGGTTTACGTTAAATGTGCTTGATGTGTGGTTCCCCTCAAAAACAGGGGCTCCTGCTTTACATCCCATCTGAGAGAATGTCCTTCAGCAAATATAGGTAGTACTTCTCATTTTGAGTGAGGAAATAGAGTAAGGTAACATGCCTTGATGTCAGCATCCACAATCAACTGGAGAGAAGCTCAGAAGTTACACCCCCTTTTCACAATTGCTACGCAATGGCCAAGCTACAAAAGATTTGACAGATCATTCAATGAATTTCATACATAAATGATAGAACAAATTTATTTATATTTTGTGCATTTTTTTGTCTTTGTTGTCATAGAATAATACTTTTACATCATGCATCAAGAGTTACAGAAGTCCCGTTTTGGTGACTCCATCAGCAATCACTGTCCAGTGGAGAAGGGACCTTAAACTTCGACTCTTCAGAGAGCCCTGAGCAATGTCAATGACCTGATCTTTACTCTGTCCACAGCGTTTGAGCTAAAGATAGCACAATAAGACTTGCGGGGACACAAGATTTCCCCCTGTTACCAGTAAACAGGAGAAATTCATGTGTCCAACCCTTGCCCTCTCAGAGTAACAGAACGCTGGATCAAAGCGTAGAAAGAATTGACAATAAGCAGGATACGAGGGAGGCAGAGGCTGCACCGGTGGATCGTGTGTTTTCTTACTGAACCCGCGGACAAAAGACAGGTGTATCGTTGCTTGTTCGGATGAGCGACTCTTCTGTGCAAGAACAATGGCTTGGACATGAGACTGTCTGTTAAGTGGTGATACGTCTTTGTCAGAAGCCGATTTCGGGAAGTCTCTGAGCACGAAAGGATACGAGCAGTGTAGGTCCATTAACCTAGGTACTGTATGCTGGACTGGTAGATGGTTATCTGCTCTGGGTGCCAGAAAAGTTACACAATTTACTGTAGGAGAAGCTGAAAAGTCTTTTTGATAATGATATAACTGTGTATGTACTATAATTCCTTGTTTCATGACTATTGGACATCACTTGATTTTTGGTGATTGCTACATGCCACAAGTTATTGCTGGGTAAATTTGAACCTGTTTCCGTTCTTTGAATATTACTTCTTGAGACGTTAAGACATACTTCTGATATATTACTTCTTACAACTTATCTTGAATGTTATAAAAAAATTAATATAATTAACAATATATAATGTCAGACAGTTTTCCACATTAAACATGCACACATGGGGGAGAAAGAGAACATTAAACAAAGAATTTGGCATAGTACATGCAGTTTTCAGATATCAAGAAGCTCTACAATGTTACAGTGCCAAAATATGAACTTCCAAACACGAAGACTCCAAATATAGTAAAGAGGTTGTTTTACCAACCCCAGAAATATCAACAGTAGCTGTCATCAGATCACATTAGCTGGAGTTATATCTGGGCTGCTGTTGTCTTTATGAGTATGAGCTTAAGAAAATAAATGTTGCATGCTCTTGCAGTTCCAATTAGCTCCTGTAGACATATCCTCAGTTTCTCTTCAAACAAACCCTTAAACCTCTTCATTCCTGAAAGACAGGTGAGAATTGATAATGCAGTATTTACTGGAGCGCTGCAGGAACAGATGTGTTCAAATTGTGACACTTTTTCCACATTAGTGAGCAAAATACACAACTATTAAAGGGCCATTCAGAACACGAGTCCCAGTTGGTCTTCTCCAGACACAGTTTCAATTAACGTGAAGGGCTTGGGTTAACTGTATACACATAGAACACCGAAGAATGTAGTTTTTGCACCGACACTTCCACCTCTTTGCTGACAGACTGGAGCCATGGCTGACAGGTGTGTACAACAGGATTCTGGACAGCTTGTCCTCCAGCACATGTTTAGATCTACTGAAAGAAAGACTTAGCTGTTAGCTTTAATTTTGCTACATATATACATGTATGTACCAAATTTCGCTTGGGAAGATGGTGTTACCACCATACTGATTGTTTAGAAACTGTTATTCTGAACACATTAGGTGCACAGGAAAAGTTTGGCTGCAGAAAACATACTAGTAAAGTAGAATGTCATCAAAACCTAATTACTGTACATGTACATGCTAAGTAATTCTCTTCAACATTTGCCATAGACTTGATGCTGAAAGTCTAAAGCTAACTTCAAAATTTTAAACAAGTAATACTTATTACTAATTATACAAGTACTATGCTGTTGTATTTACTAAACTTACTATGCTACAGTATGTAACTCTATACAAATACAAATGGTGCAGTCAAAAATCATCAGATGGTCCAAATTTGGGTGCACAAAAATGTGTACTACTATAGCCCTGATAGGACATAGGGATCAATATATATATAATGGGGTTAACCTGTAATTCAGTCCTATCCTATCAGTATCCTATAAATACTGAACAAGGCCCTCTACAGGGCATCCATCCTTACTGACATGAAGTGAAAATCAGATAGAGCTTTCACCATGCGTTGGAAGTGTATAACAGAAGAATAGCCACCTCCATGCTGGGAGACTGGAGCAGAGTCAAAACCACCACACAACTTTAATTGCCATAAACTCCAAGGTTGGACTGGGTGTGTGTGTGTCTGTAAGTGACACCCAGGTGGTATGTTGATCGCACCAAACAGTTTGTGAGGGAAAACAACAGTAAATTTCCCCTTACTTCAGAAACACGTCGGACACAACTGAATGGAGTCACCGCGCTAGCCTAATGTCAAGGCCATTCACTTCCAAGTCACCCAGAAACATCAAGTTATTCATGTAACAAATACATATGCAATTGTAACTAAAGCTACAAAACAATGATTGTGACTGTGATTTGTATTTTAACTGAGTACAAAACTTGCAGCAAGGTACTAAACATATTTCTTTGACTAGATAAACATGGCTGTTTATAGCAAACACAGTGTGAATTGTAGAAAATGCAGTTTGATTGTACAGGAGCGTGCTTTGCAAGGAAAATGAGATGAGACTCAGGCATGGATCGATACAGCAGCCCAGAGGCATCCTGCTTAAAGGGGTTGTCTCACAAGTACATTATCTTACGGTAATAAATCTCATGGTTGATTTGCGACAACATTCGTACTCTCTAGTCTTATACATTTATTCCTCCTAACTAAGCCTTTTCAATCATGGGTTTGTGGTTGTTGTAACTGACCAGTAAAGCATGAATCCAACCGCAGCTGAGAAAAAGGTTGTTCACATGCCATCTGGACATGAACTTGCCTGGGCGGCACTATAGGAAGGGTCTGACAGAGAGAAGCTATGACGGAATGCCGATTTGATGAGAACACAGACAGATAAGATCACGTCAGGAGGGAAGCTGGTGTCGTGTTACGGGGTGGTGCCGCGCGGGTATCACGCGATGGGGTGACGCCATGCTCAGGTGCTCTATTGTGTGGGCTGAAATAAGAAGTCACGTGCACACAACATGTCAGTTCAAAGGACAGTCACAGCGCCAGATAAATCATTAGATGTTCTGGGTTGAACACATCACTGACTAGGATCTGTCTGGGATGGATTACACCCATTTCTACGTCCACATGTGTCAGCAAGTTTGACATGACTTCTCATGGCGTGCTTTGTAACGAAAATAATTTAGGTACAGGTCGCAAATACCTGAGTGTACTGATACTATACATATACTTGAATAGACACTCAACTATATAACTTTTTGACTAATTTTTTATCAATGTTGATGCAAATGTGTTATTTCTGAAAATTAAGTACTAGAAAACGATGGAAACATTTTAGTCAGCACCATCTTTGAGCCATCCTCTTGAATGCACAGGTCCTCTGCATAAAGATACATGAAGTCTAAAGAAACATTCTGTTTATTTTTGTTTCTGTCATCATAATTTGAAGACCACGGGTTACATTTAGCGCTAGTGTACATGTACAAGTAACGTCACTTACTTGATTCAACTTATGCTGACTCAACACTGAAGCCTGAAAGAATTTGATGGACATCTGGACCGAAATCCTATGTCTCCCATGGACTATATCCCCATATTACCTGGTAATATTCTAGGTTATTATATCATAACAAACTTTGATAGCCTTTTCGGCCTTGTTCATTCATTTATTGCAAACTAAAGTCGAGCCCAAACTCACCTCAACAAAATTGTTTCAAAACACGCCGCCATGTTGGGTAACGGGAGCATGGTATTTTCCCATATATGCAAATATAATTTATTAATATATGCAAGATTAATGCACATATGCAATCACGTTCATACATTAGTACAACTTGTATACCCTATGTATCATAAGCAATCCATTCTACATATAACGTTACCCCTTTGCACTCTAATTCTTTCTACCTCAACCTAATTAAGGCACTCACACACACCCATGCACACTCTTACACACCCTGTGCACTCTCACGCACCCTGTACACTCCCACGCACCCTGTGCACCCCCACGCACCCTGCGCACTCTCATTCAACCTCCCCGAACCTGATGCACCCTCACGCACCCTGCGCACCCCCATGCACCCTGTGCATCCCCCATGCACCCTGTGCACTCTCATATAACCTTCTTAAACCTGATGCACCCCACGCACCCTGTGCACTCTCATTCAACCTTCTTCAACCTGATGCATCCCCATGCAACCTGTGCACTCTCATTCAACCTTCTTAAACCTGATGCACCCCCATGCATCCATTGTGCACTCTCATTCAACCTTCTTAAACCTGATGCACCCCCATGCAACCTGTGCACTCTCATTCAACCTTCTTAAACCTGATGCACTCCACTACGCACCCTGTGCACTCTCATTCAACCTTGTTCTTAAACCTGATGCACCCCACGCACCCTTTGCACTCTCATTCAACCTTCTTCAACCTGATGCATCCCCATGCAACTTGTGCACTCTCATTCAACCTTACCAATCCTGATGCACCCTGTGCACTCTCATTCAACCTTCCCACACCTGATGCACCCCCACGCACCCTGTGCACTCCCACTAATACTGTAATTCTTGATTGTTTTAACATTCACTTGAGCAAATTCAGCAGTCAATATTCCACCGCTGTAATTTCATTACTGCAACTATCCGAAAACTACAACTACAGAAACAATTACCTTATTTACACCTTAAAACTTACGTGTCAGGTGCTTACCCCTTTTCCTCAAGCCATTATATAAAGAAAGACTAATAAAGAAAGGGCGTAGATAAGACAACAGGCGATTACCGTTTTAAGGGCTCTTCGTGAGTAGGTTTAAGAAGGTTGAATGAGAGTGCACAGGGTGTATGGGGTGCATCAGGTTGAAGAAGGTTGAATGAGAGTGCACAGGTTGCATGGGGGTGCATCAGGTTGAAGAAAGTTGAATGAGAGTGCACAGGGTGTGTGAGAGTGCATCAGGTTGAAGAAGGTTGAATGAGAGTGCACAGGTTGCATGGGGGTGCATCAGGTTTAAGAAGGTTGAATGAGAGTGCACAGGGTGTATGGGGGTGCATCAGGTTGAAGAAGGTTGAATGAGAGTGCACGGGGTGCACAGGGGTGCATCAGGTTGAAGAAGGTTGAATGAGAGTGCACAGGGTGCGTGAGAGTGCATCAGGTTGAAGAAGGTTGAATGAGAGTGCACAGGTTGCATGGGGGTGCATCAGGTAGAAGAAGGTTGAATGAGAGTGCACAGGGTGCGTGAGAGGTGCATCACGGTTGAAGAAGGTTGAATGAGAGTGCACAGGTTGCATGGGGATGCATCAGGTATAAGAAGGTTGAATGAGAGTGCACAGGGTGCATGGGGGTGCACGGGGTTGCACAGGGTGCATGGGGTTGCACAGGGTGCGTGAGGGTGCATCAGGTTCGGGGAGGTTGAATGAGAGTGCGCAGGGTGCGTGGGGGTGCGCAGGGTGCGTGGGAGTGCACAGGGTGCATGGGGGTGCACAGGGTGTATGGGGGTGCGCAGGGTGCGTGAGGGTGCATCAGGTTCGGGGAGGTTGAATGAGAGTGCGCAGGGTGCGTGGGGGTGCGCAGGGTGCGTGGGAGTGTACAGGGTGCGTGAGAGTGCACAGGGTGCGTAAGAGTGTGCATGGGTGTGTGTGAGTGCCTTAATTAGGTTGAGGTAGAAAGAATTAGAGTGCAAAGGGGTAACGTTATATGTAGAATGGATTGCTTATGATACATAGGGTATACAAGTTGTACTAATGTATGAACGTGATTGCATATGTGCATTAATCTTGCATATATTAATGAATTATATTTGCATATATGGGAAAATACCATGCTCCCGTTACCCCATGTTGGTTCAGTTCGACCTTTAACCTTTAGGTCATGTTGAGGTCACAAAGATGGCTGCCCCCTTCCAGAGATGTGCCTGCCGGATTGTATTCAGATCTCGGATAAGTCGAGAACAAAGGGACGCAAGGTGAGTTTTAGATCGTTGTTGGATGTGTGAGGACACTTCTCATCTGCCAGATTAGTCTATATTTCGTCTGGATGTAATGTGTTAAACGTGACGATGTATTTACCGACGTATTGGGGGAGGGGGGAACCAGAATGTCTCGCTTGCAGGTCCGATTAGTTAGGGAATAATCAGTGTGTTGTAGCAAGTTGTACTGTATACCACTTCTATAGAGTTAGGTAAACTATACAAGTTTCAATTTGTTTTATTAAAAAGTTAGGTAATTTTACCATGTGCATAGTAACCATTCCAAGTATTTTTGACTCAAGTGAACACAGAGAATCAGTCTTTTTTTATGGAGAGATATTATTGACAACATTAGTGAGAAATTTTTTTACATGCCATTTTATCTATTATCATTCATCCATTGTAGGGACAAACTTGCAGTTTTGAAGGCACTTTCAACCACAGTCAAAAGGGTGAGTTTATTTGATGATGAAAACAAAATGAGTATTATTCTTTTTTAAGAGTTTACATAATGCAAGGCCAAAAGATTGCCTCTAGGCACTGAACTACAAGTAAATCGTTTGGAGGTACATGTATAGGTTACTATGCTAGGAGATGGTGGCGATCTAGTACAATGTAATACAAATGTACTAGTTGTTGACTTGACTTGATGTGTACACTTAAGTTGATCAAGTTGTTTTATTTTCTCCAACACCTCAGGATCCCACTTCTGTGGACTACAATTTCATTGATGATCCCTACTTGATTCCAAAAACAACCATGCAGTATGTAAGTACATGTACTGGTATTTAAAATTTAGGTTAGAAAAAAAATATTCCAGAATGAATCTTTGGTACACTGTAGCAGCGCCACCTAGCAGCTAATGTGTAAACTTCACATCTTTCAGAAATGGTTTTCTCTAGCAAAGGAGTCTGGACAGAAAGCAGCTGAGTTCTTCATCAACATAAATCCACAGTTCTTTCAGCAGGAATTAGTTGAAATAGAGGTAAATATGAGCCATTTCTTTGAGCTTTTAACATTTAATCTTAATAAAGATTAAATCTGTTGTAAATATGGAAATGTCCCTGTGACATTTTGGTGCAATATGTGGTAGATTATGGACCAGCCCGGCTCTTTTCATCAGCTATGATAGCAGCCATGTTCTCCTTTTGAGATAAGCAGACCCATATTATAAACAGGATGTGAAGCTGAAGTTTATTTATTTTTGATCTTACTCCTATTCTTAT